TTTGGCTAAGTGAGTTTTTTTGGCTATTTTTTGATAAGTAATTAGGAAAAATGGCTAGTTTTGTATTTTCCCCTTATATTTTCTATCCTTCTATTTCTTAAAATATTTTATAAAAAGCTATTTTCCCTCTTTACTTTTTAAATTGTCACTTTAACCAAATACACTTTGAACTTTTAAAAATGTCACTTTCACCACCATCAATTTTTAAACTTTCATGTTTATCCACGTAGTCTATGCTTTGTACCTCTCCATTTTTTGAGATTATATTTAACGCCCCTCTACCTTTTAAAATAATTTATAAAATGACTCTCTCATTATACTTTTTAAAATGTCACGTCGTCACTCTCTTATTATAATTTATAAAATGACTCTCTCATTATACTTTAAACATTATAAAATGTCACTTTCACCTCCTACATTTTCTAAACTTTTGTGTTTACCCCGCGTATACTATGTCTTTACGTTTTTGTGTTTATTTTTATATACGTTTTCTACATATGAGTCGGGTCACATCATACGACTCCGTCGTGAGCTTCTGTTATATATAAATTACAGTTATTGACGATAAAAAGACTTAAAATTTATTGTAGCATTATTTATATATCATTTTAAGTTTCAAGAAGCAGGGTTGTACCCTGTCAGATCACCAAAATATTTTTCACGTTTACAACAAATTTATTGTAAACATGTCAAACGATATTTATAAATGGCGCGGGATTACAACCTGATTTTTTGAAAGTATATAAAAATAACACTAATTTTATAACTTAAAAGGGAGTCAAACCAATTTTTATAAAAAATATAAAACTCCATATAACTTTTAGTCCAACTTAACTCTTTGACATATGTCTTATGATTATTTTAACTGTCCTGAAATATTTAGATTGTCGTCGTAAATTCTAATAATAATGTGAACGTAGTAGTTAACACGATAATATACTAACTATTTATCTTAATTAAAAGAGTATGGATTTTGGAATCTAATGCTTTTTCCTTTCACCGTAGTATTTCTCTCTCTCTCTCTCTCTCTCTCTCTATAGGGGTATATTAATTTTTTAAATATATAGTTAACACGATAATATATAGGGGTATATTAATTTTTTAAATATATAAAAAATAAATACATAAATAAGAAAATTAATTAAAAAATAAATTAATAATGGCAAAATAGTCTTTTTAGGTAAGACATGGACCAAACGCACAACAAAAATAAACAGTAGGGACCATCCAAGTTAAAAAAATAAGTTAGGGACAAAAAACACAAATTCCCCCGAACCACAGGGACCATTCGTGTAATTTAATTTTTACTTTTCGTTTTGTTCATATTTGG